TGTTTGTGTGGCAGGCTTTTCACCACAAACCGTTTCCCTGGCACCAAAGCTGGTTTCTTACGTGGAGATTCAGACACTGAGAGAGAGTTGAAAACAGAATCACCAGGTGGGGGAGTCTCCAAACGTTTGGGCCCCAGGGCCACTTTCTTTGTTCAGCTTTTACTGGGGCGTAGGGGGTAAATCGCCTCTCTGGTGGCATCCAGCCAAACTTTGTTCACCATCTCCGTGTGAGAATTACTAAAAGATCAAATTTAAAATGGATTTTTGATGCCCTATCCAGTTTCCTGGACTTCAGAAGGTAATTGTGGAGCAATCAATTGGACTTTAATCATACACACACACACACACACACACACACACACACACACACTAATAAAAGGGGAGAGAATTAAGCACAGGAAGAACATTACATTTTAATGTTTAAATTACAGAACACAGCGCTCTGAGTTTGCAGCGGGGGCTGGAGGGAACTGTAATTATGAGCTTCCTCGGAAGGACAGGAAAACCGGTGAGCTTTTCTGGGCTAATACATTTATTGTTTCACAACAAAGAAATAATGAACATCTGAGGTGATGGATCTACCAATTATCCTAATCTAATCTTCCACATCATCACACCGTGCCCAATACATATATCCAATCACGCCGTGTTAGTTAAAAGTACAAAGGAGCCCCAGGTGGGGTGGCTCACACCTGCGACACTCGCACTTGGGAGGTGGAGGCAGAGGGATCAGGGGTTCAAGGTGATCTTCAGCCACGGCAAGCTTGAGGGCAGCCTGGGCTTCCTGAAGCCGAGGCAGAAGGCGGCTTTCTATGGGTGGTCATGGAACGGAGGGCACGCTCAGAACTGCACGCTGCTCAGGTGTGTCACAGTGAGCACTGACTCAAAGGGTCCAAAAGAACGAGCATACACAGGCAAGGTTCCACCCTTCCATCCAGCCTTGCTCCTCGAACCACTAGTTGTAATACACGAGTAAAGATGGCCTCTAAGAAAGGAGACCCCAGACCATACCCCAGACCATGCCCCAGATGAGGAGCTAACTAATGAGAAACCAAAGCCACTTCTCAGTAGCTGTGAAAACCAAAGAAACTTAGTTAATTAATAGTGCTGGAGACACTCGCGGGGTCAGAGGCCGACTGAGCAGCTAACAGCTAGCAGACAGTCAAAGTCAATAACTAACAAAGCTAGGGTCGGAGACAGGAAGGGAGGGAGGGAGGGAGGGAGGGAGGGAGGGAGGGAAGGAGGGAGGGAGGGAGGGAGGGAGGGTGTCAACCACTCCCGAGTGGGGACACGTGGACAGAGTGTGGCCATTTCCCTGCATGGGGAAGGAAGAGCTGTGTGTGGGCCCTCCAGTGGCTTGGTCCACGATATTCCAGTGGATGAACCTGTCTCACGGCCTCTGTCTAGTCCGCCATAGCCATGCAGAAACCTCCAGACAAGAAGTTCAAAGGCTTCCCCTCTATGGGAAGGCCATGCCATTCTCAGAAGTTTCTTCTGTTTTTTTTTTTTTTTTTCGAGTTCTTGCTTTTCTATCACCCTCCCTAGCGAAGTTTGCTTCTGCTCTGGTCGCTTCTACAAGTCTTTGCGTTCTTACTCTTTCTGGTGTGAGACAATGAACTTGAGAGCCATTGTCTCAGGTCGATCCTTAGGGACTCTGAGTGTCCAGTATCTTAGGTCCTTGGGTCAATCACAACTAGGGTAAGAAAGGTTCCCTCTTCTCTCTGTCTCTCTCTCTCTGTCTCTCTCTCTCTCTGTCTCTCTCTCTCTCTGTCTCTCTCTCTCTCTCTCTGTCTCTCTCTCTCTCTCTCTCTCTCTCTCACACACACACACACACACACACACACACACACACAAAAGCTATTTTAGGATCAGGGCTATAGTTCATTTGGTAGACTGCCTGCTTAGAACCTATGACGCCTTGGCTTCAATCCCAGCATTAAATAAATGGGGGTGGGGTGGAGTGGGGTTGGTACATACCGGTCATCCTAGTGTTTAGCCGGTGGGGGCAGGAGGGTAAGGAGTTTGGAATTATCCTGTGATCCTGTGTGAGAGTTCAAGGTCAGTGTGGGTTGCAGGAGATGACTTCTCAGCAAAACTTTTTCAGAAAAAAAGATTGTTTTGTTTTGTAATCATGCATAGGCCTGTGTGTTGGGGAATATATGTGTGTGTGTGTGTGTGTGTGTGTGTGTATACATATACATGTGTGGGCAGGTGCTTGTGGAGGGGTGACCCCTGCTACTGTAGTTCCAGTGCTTGTGAGCTGCCTGTATAGGTGCTGGCATCCAAGCTTGGGTTCTCTGTAAGCAGTGTGGTCCCCTAACTGCTAAGCCATCTCTCTAGTCCCTCAAAAATAAATAAAAAACATTTTATTATGTCACAAACGTCTCTTTTACATTTTGGTGTGTAAATACATATTAGCCTTGGAGCACAGAATTTATACTAAGTAAATGCCATATATTGCCATTAGGGCCCTGAGAATACGGTGGCCAAGGATTTCAGTGTGGCGGACAGTTCAGGTTTCAGCAGAGTGGTCTGCATCCGGGTCCTCTCACACAGGCCGGTACATGACTCTCACCTTTTCAGGGTTTTGGGGGGCTGGAGTGAAGGAAACTGGTTTGATTGCTGTTTTACAAACAACACTGGTCACAGACTAATCAAGTTCACGCTTCTGTCCTGCAGTCGGCTTACACCGCCCCCTGCCTGTGCACAAGAGTCTGATTTGCTCTGGGAGTTTGGTCAGAAAAGGCGCAGGCTTCGCATCATCTGCCATGCTCAGAGGTTACCAGTAGAGGGCAGGCTTCAGATTTCCCTGGTCAACCCCGGGCTCAGACGTCCTGATCCACACTTTCCTGTCTCCCACTGTTGCCCTTGCAAGGTATGCAGGTCCGTGTCCCGCTTTTCTGCCTCCTCCCTTTCTTCCTTCTTCCCTCCCTCCCTCCTTCCTTCCTTCCCTCTTTCTAGCTCCCCCTTTCTCCTCTTCCTTCTTCCTCATATCTGGCAGATGTCGGACGAATCACAGGTTTGATGCACCGTTGTCTGTACACACAAAGTTGCTCTCTGGTTTCCTCCCTTTCCCGCTCTCTGCACCCCCCACATCTCACATTCATTCCCTTCTGTCCTCAGCATGCGCACATTCTCCCCTTAAATTATTTTTTACTTTTATCTATTCTTTAAGCATTTCACACCATGCCTCCAATCACCCTCATTTCTCTGTCCTTCCATGTCTGCCCCTACCACTATGATGCTCCCCCAAAAAAGAGAAATTAAAATAAAAAACGTCCAATTTGTGTAATCTATATACTTACCGGAGCACAGTCAAACTCTCATTGGCCTGGCCCTTAAACAGAACTGAATGAATCCTCCCCTTTCCACTCCCTCACCAGAAGCCATTGATTGTGGAGAGCTAACTTCAGCATCGTTATCATGCATTTTAAGAATTCTCTTAGATGGTTTCCTGCGGAGGGGGTTGGTCACAGTAGGGATTAATTCCATTGCACTCACCAAATGCCCCTTGGTTCTTTGTACCCATTTCTTTTCTTGCCATGTGAGAGGACACAGTCCATCATGGTGGGGAAGGCACGGTGGCAGGGAGGGGGCTGTCACACTGCATCCAGCTGTCAGTCACACTGCACCCAGCTGTCACACTGCACCCAGCTGTCACACTGCATCCAGCTGTCACACTGCATCCAGCTGTCACACTGCATCCAGCTGTCAGTCACACTGCATCCATTTGTCAGTTCACTGCACTCAGCTGTTACACTGCATCCAGCCGTCAGTCACACTGCGTCCAGCTGTCAGTCACACTGCATCCAGCTGTCAGTTCACTGCACCCAGCTGTCACACTGCATCCAGCTATCACACTGCATCCAGCCGTCACACTGCATTCCCAGCCAAGATACAGAGAGATAAATGCCCCTGTTTAGCTTGCTTCCCACATTTTTTCTTTTTATCTAGTCTGAGCCCAAATCAGAAGGACAGGTCCAGCCACCACCAGGGTATACCTTCCCTCCTTAAATAAATCTTTCAGAAAACAACCTCACAGACAAGCCCAAAGGTGCATCTCCATGGTGATTCTAATGAACTGACGACTACTGACCACCACACTCTGTAATCATCAGAAACATGCATGTTTATTTGATGGGCATGTTTTATTAATTTGTAAAAAACGAAACTGTGTTACATGTCTCATTCTGTTTTTGCATTTTCTTGCCTCTATGTATGTTTAAGACTTTTCTATGCTGTTCTATGAACGGGTAATGAATCTAATCTACTGCCGCTAGAAGGCACAGCATGTTTCAGTACGTTCCATAGTGAACAGCTCCCACTTTCCTGTACACATCACATCCCCTCTGAGGGGTGTCCTCAGCTCCCCCTAGGATCACTGCAGCAGGCATGGGTGCCTATGACGTCATGGACTGGGGATGTATGATGGGTGAAATGAGGTGCTGGCTTTAAGGTCTGCGTTCCCATGCTCAGTGTGTCACTGCTTCTGCATCGCTCTTGTCCCACCCCACCCACTCTCTAGCCACAGAGTCACTGTAGTCACAGAACATGGACATTTCTGCACAGCCTCCGCTCCCTACCAACACTTGAATTAGGCCAGCTTTTGATTTTTTGTCAACACAAAAGTTATCAACTAATACTGTTGCTTCAATTCATATTTACCTGAAGACTGGAATTGGGAATCTAATTGTAAGTACTGTAATTTCTTAGTTTTTCTTTTCTACTTTTGTCGATTTTCTTCGGCTGGATTTCTTGGGCAGTAGATATACTTTGAGCATTCTGAATGTCTGAATTGTAGTTAGCCTTGTCAGCTCTATTTCAGATGGCCCCCTCCACACTGGTCCCGAGCTCCGGGTCCTTTAGTTCTGATGGAGTCAAATTCCTCAGTGTTCCGTTTAAGAACTCTTTTCATGGGGCTGGAGAGTTGGCTCAGTGGTTAAGAGCATTGCCTGCTCTTCCAGAGGTCCTGAGTTCAATTCTTGGCAACCACATGGTGGCTCACAACCATCTGTAATGGGGTCTGGTGCCCTCTTCTGGCCTGCAGACATACACACAGACAGAATACTGTATACATAATAATAAAAAAAAGATCTCTTTTCATTCTGTAGGAACAGCAAGATCTCCCGGGTTTCCCTTCCCTGTAGTCCACAGTCCCTCGTTCACAACTCCGAAATCCCCTAAGGTGCCGTACCAGTCAGCTGGAACCAGGCGGCATTCTCTGCCACAGCGGCGGGAAGGAGGAGGTGTCAATTACGGAATTCTGTCTACCAAGAGCAGAGTGGCTCTCCCAGCCTTGGTACTCCTGGCGTTTGGGACCCGGCCATTCTCTCCTGTGACCACAGAGCATTTGTCAGCATCTCTGCAATGTCAGTATCCTCCTTCCACCGTAACAGCCGTAACAGCCGAGCCAGCTGGCGGTGTCTCCAGGTGTTGCAGGATTACATCCTGTTTAGAGCCGCTGCTAGATGAGCCCAAATGAGAGAACGTAGGGACTCAAAGTGGTCCCAGCTGCAGTCACAGAGATGAGGGAAGGAAGCAGTTCTTGAACCAGGTGACACAGAGGTTTACAGAAAACTAAACAAAATAACAAGCAAGCAAAAAAACTGCTTTCAGGATCTTGTCCTTTCACAGAGGGAACCAGGCAGTGGAGCAGAGCTGCTGGGAGCCACGGTCCTCTGTCAAGGGCTGCAGCCTTGTGAGAACTTCCCAGACAGAGATCCAGTCGGGGAAGGCGGGAAGGGTGCTGGGGCAGGCGAAGCAAAGGTACCAGCTGCTTGACCGATAGCAGGATGGGCTTTGGGATCGTGATGGGAAGAAATCTCTGGGCATGTCTGTGGGGACCGTCAGATTAATCAAATATGTGGCTAACAGTTTTCCATGGGCTGTGGTCTCTGAGGTCTCTGGCATGTCTGTGGGGACTATTGGATCAGGTTAATCTAGTGTGTAGACAGCAGCATTCTGTGGGGTGGGGCCTCTGGATCAGAAGGAGAGGGTGAGCAGACTGCATTCATAGTCTCAATGCCCTGATTATAGACAGGTAGCAGCTGCCTCCCCCTCCCCAAAAATGTCAGCCCATTTCACCTGTCTGAAGGGCAGAGAGTTTGAGGTTGCTCAAAGTTCTTGACAACGACTGTGGCTACACGCCCTGACCTAGGGTGTGGTTACTTTGTCTTTTGGACATTAAGATGGCCCAAGGGGTAGAACCACTCCACTCCACCCTGACCAAAGGTCAGCAAATTCAAGCACACTTCTGCTCCTTCTTTTGAATTAGGAGGTTCAACTTAAGGAGTGGCTGGCTGCCTTTATGATACTTGATCTACGGTGGGTTCACTGCCTAAACAACAGAATGTTTTTCTTAAGAAATAATGGTTTGATTGCTGTGGGACAATCATCTTGTACCCTGTAAAGATTTGTCACTTGTACTGGTTTAATAAAATGCTGATTTTCCAGTAGTCAGGCAGGAAGTATAGGTGGGGTAACCCAAACAGGAGAATTCTGGGAAGAGGAAAGGCTCGGTCTACAGTCATCACCCAGATGCAGAGGAAGCAAGATGAGAATGCCTCACTGATAAAAGTTTCCAAATCATGTGACTAACACAGACAAGAATTATGGGTTAATGTAAGATAAAAGAGTTAATAGGAAGCCTGAGCTAATAGGCCAACCAGTTTATAATTAATATAGACCTCTGTGTGTTTCTTTGGGACTGAACGGCTATGGGACTGGGCGGGACAGAAACCTCTGTCAACACTTGCTGTCTCAAAGTATCAAAGCAAGAACGTTCTGATTGTCCTTTATATCACATTAAAAGAAAAGTTAATTTTCTTTCTTCCCCACCTTTGGTACAGGGGTATGAAAGTATATGGAAAATTAAATACAGGCGAACAAAGTACCCCGAACCCAGATGCAGGAGAGACTGAGTGGCCCTCCCGACACTGTCCTGTGTCTCGTGATTCTTTCTCATCTCTGTTCCTCCCACCTAACTTCTAATCCTCACGCCCCTATGCTGGAACGTACGATCCCACTGACCACAGCAAGGAACCTGGCAGAAGTCACCCCAAAAGGGTGGCTTAGGACATATGGCAGCCCAGTGTGGTGCAGCTTGCAACCACTGATTCCAGGACCACGAGCCCCAATAACCCTTCCTCCCCTAAGTTGCTTTGGTCAGGCATTTTGCCACAGTAGTGACACCAGTGGAACCCCAGGCTGATTTAGTGGCTGAAGCAGTTAAAGCTGAGCCAAGCGCATTTGTCTTTGCTCCACTTCCTTCAGAAATTCTGAGGTCCAGGCTCACAACAGCTGCCTGAGACTCCCTTGGAGTGTATGGAATATGGATGCCACACAGACCCTATAAACTTATCATAATGTAATCAGAAGCCACAATTATGGTTCTGCTGCAGGAAGTCATAAACTGCATTGACTTGCCAGATGTGTTTGCACTTTGGCACCATTCTGTCTAAGTGGCTCTCAAAATGAATACAGTGTCGTCATTATAGGTGAACAATTCAATGGAGTTCTTTGAAAGCCACCAGGGCCAGGCTAGATTAATGAAAGAAACTAAGCCAAGATTGTGCTTGGATAAAAATGGTAATTATTTTAAAAAAAAACTGCCAAACTACCCCCAATGTTTACATCAAATGATCAGGTACAAGTGGTGCCAGGCACACAGAAGAACCAGAGTCCGGGTTGATTCAAAGTGAGTGTCCAGTACGTTCTTGTTTCTTAGTGTCAGGCTGGTCATTTGGCACCAGAAATGGTGGATCAAACCGCTCGAGCTGACCTTCGGTGGGATGGAGAGACTCAAGTCTTTCTACTTAAACAAATCATCATTTTAAGCAGTCTTGTTAGCTGAAATGTCAGGCAAGAACTTCCCTTAGGCCCAGACAAGTGTGAACTCCACTGTTCTCCCAGTGTGTGATGTTGTCCAGTCTGCCCTGGAATGCACGGTGCAGAATCTCCTTTATATACTCTGGTAAACTTAAGTGAATCCTCAGCAGGGCGGATGGGAGCAAGGAGCTCGGTTGACACACCCGGTTTCTGTGTGCAAACCCCAGCTTCAGTGCTAGCACCTCAGATTCAGAGGAGGCCTGACAGACCGACAGCCAGCACCCACCCTCAGACCCTAATTCACTGTCTTGGTTGGGGCGCCTGCTGCTGTGGCTGAAACACAGAACAACTTAAGGATTTATTTAACTACACTTTGAGGATACAGTCCCTCAGGGTGGGGACATCATGGCAGAGGGAATCAGAGGGGCAGCTGACCACACTGCGTCTGTTCACACAGAAAGAGATGCCATGCTGCTCGCTCAGCCTATGGGATGAAGTTTCCTCCAGGAGGTGGGCTTTCCCAATTTAACCCACCTCAGAAAAACCCTCATAATAGGCAGGCAGGCAGGCAGGCAAGGCAGGCAAGGCAGGCAAGGCAGGCAAGGCAGGCAAGGCA